CAAACTCTCAATCCTAAATCCAAAAACCCTAAACTCTAAGCCTTAAATTCAAATTTTGAATAGGAAAAAATGAGCCCTAAACCCTAAATTTTAATCTCATCAAGCCAAAATCTCATAACAATTTTTGCAAGATTCTAAAGAAAAACATGATTTATTTCAAATAATTATGAGGTCATTGACAAATCTTATATAAATATATAAAACTTAAAGCCTTTGACAAAAATGAAAAATTTTCAATGTGTATGGCCTATATTATTGACATATGGACAATCTTGAAAAATTGTCATATGTCCTATATTTTATTTTATTTGAATTATTTTTAGAAAATTAAATTAATTACATTTATTTTTTATTATTATTTACCTTAAATCACTCTTAATTAAATTCATATTACACGTAATAAAACTTTAATTGCCATCATCATAAGATAATTTTGTATTCTCTTTTTTCAATTATAATATTTAACTTTTAAATTATATTCGTGTAAAAAATATTTACTTTCCAATTTTGAAATCTATGACCTAATTATTTACTTCACCTTTTAAGCTATGTATACACGCTTAATATATATTTATATAAATATATATTAATTTTAAAATAATTAATAAATGATCAAACCAATTAAGATTAATTGTGGAATATATCAAATAAAATGAATTTTATTACCATTATTACGCTAATTTCAAAATCCTTATTTTTCCAATACTCCCAAATGAGTTGAATACATAATATGTTTGATTTTTCTATTTGTTAAGCATAAATCACTGTTAATTTAAAATATTATTATTGATCTTGATTTGGTTATGAAATTCATTTTAGTCAATTAGACATTCAAAAGTTACAAATCATCCAATAATTATTTTTAAGATCCATCCTATGAATAAGGGTGTTTTGGGATACTTAAGAAATCAATTGCATCCCTTCAATATTTTTTTCATTGTCGTGATATTCTTTTACCATACGGTAAACCTAGCTTAGGTTCTCTTTTTTTTTTTTTGTTTGTTTGTAATGTTATATATAGATGGATTAAATGCTCAATTTCCTTTATGTTTGGTTTTGGTATTATTTTGGGTACTGTTTTTTTTTTTTTTTTGCGTTAAAATCTTTTAGATTAATTCTTCATCATAGTTGTATAATGATTTATTTTTGAAAAAAAAATCATTTTGAAATGAAATTTTAAAATTAAACAAAATTTCTTGAAATTTTAATGTTTTGGATTTTTTTTTAAGTTTTAGCTATTGCTATTGGTTCTATTATAGTTTAAACTATACATATATTATATATATCTTTATACATTTTTTTCTAGTTTTTGTTATGATATCGATTTGTATACTAAATTCTTATCATACTAAAGAGTGAGCTCAATGATAATTAGAAAAAAGTGATCACTTATCACTTATCACTTATCTTATCATATATATCAAGTATGCATTTTATTTTTTATTTTTTTGTATGAAGTGAATTGATTTATTTCTTTTTTAGTGATATGATTTTTTTTTTGTCATTATGATATTATATTTGTTGCTTTGATATTATCATTTTCATAATTTAACTTAAAGTGGAGCTAATTACAATCCAAATAAACAAAAATTGATAGAAGTAACTCTTTCGTTTTTTTATACATATAACAAGTATTACAAGGTTTCAGTAAATGATAGTTATTTTCACCAAAAAATTCAAAAAGATAATTTTTTATTTAACATTTTACTAAGTTAATTTTTTTTTACAAAATTTTTTGGGTTGTGATTTTTTTTAAAAACATTTACAATAAGTTGAATTTCTTATCATTTAAAAAAACATATAGTATCATTTGGATTCAAGAAGAGTTAAATTTAAATGTAAACTTTTATTACCTTTAATATATTGGACTATGTAGTCAGAAAAAAAAAAGTTAAGTGTTTATAATAAATTATATGTTTTATATATATTGAAGCTAATAGGTTTAATTTTTTATGAGAATGTTAACAATGTATTTTATCATTAAAATAATTTTTTATCAAAATTATAAATGTAACATTTCTTAAAATAAAATAGGCTGATTTTTTTAATAAATAATACTCTAATTTTTAAATAGTAGTATATATAACAAAAAATTATTTAATTTTGTGGTTGATCTATCTTTTTTATGTGTGATAGTCTAATTTAGTATCACTTGTCTTTTGATTATTACATGTCCAAATTGATTTACTTGATAACATTTAACTTTTAATAATATTATAAATTTTGACTTGAATTTGGTAAAAGTTTTTAATTATTAGCAAAATTCAATTACAAATTCAAATAAAAAAGGAATTTGCTACTCATATATTCAAATATTTGTATGCATAATCATCTCTCAATCAAAATTTTCATTGATTCATTTCTATTGCCTTTTTATTTTGAGGTGTTTATAGATTAAATGAACATCGTTACTAATTCAAATCTTTTTTTTGTGTAATTATTTCTAATCTATTGTTATTGTTAGTCAACTATTAATATTTAAAATTTTTGTTTTACTTTATTTAAAAATTATTATAAAATAAAATTATCACCTTGCATCGCACGAGCTTAAATCTAGTTAATAAATAATAACTATATGATATCTGATTATAGTCTATGAGTCTTTTGATTTCTTCTTAATTATAATGATATGATAGAGGGGAACGATTATATTCTTAATAAGATTTTTGAATCTTAAAGTCAAAAAATTTTAAAAGTTTTCGAATATACATATCTATAAATTTTTAAAAACTTTCAAATTTAAATATCCAAAATCTTTTAAAATTTTAAAAAAATATATTTAAATAATTTTATTAATAGATAATTTTAATAAAATATAAAAGTGGAAAGTAAAAAGAGTGGTGAAATAGAACCACTCTTTTTCAAAAGAAACGGTGACGTTTTGTTGTCTTTTTCATTATTTTTATTAATTCCATTTAAAAAATCATAAATTTTTATTAAAAAAAAATTATCTACACATCCAATTAACTACTTGCCTCTTTTCTTGATTGTTTTGCAATAATAAAGTGTCTACAACAGCCACTAATCTCCAATAATATAAACCCTCTTTACACATTAGGTGCTATTCTGAGTTGTGACCGCTTCCCAAATGGACTATAAAGAAGAAAGGCCCTCCCTTGAGTTTTGTGGAGGAGGCTTAGCCAATCTTGTACCCATTGGGCCCAATATTTTTTCAGCTCTCTCTTTCTTGGCTTGATAGGCAAATGACAGATTCCAAAATGTCGGTGATGAGTTTATCATTGATGTTGTGGTAAAAAAAAAAAAACGCTTAAAATTGTTGTTTAAAAATATGATTAAAAATTTTAAGTGCTTAAAATTATTATGAAAAAAATATTAAATAATTAAAATATTTAAAATATTCATAAAGTAATAAAATAATATAAATATAAAGATATATAATAATTTTTATTTCAAAAGCATTTTTTTTTATAAAAGAATCTTTTAAAGAATTTTTTATGAGTTTGCAAACTAAAATTTTAAATTAAAAAACTTTTTTTATTGTTTAGGTTTGAAATTAGATTAAAAGTCAACGTAAAAATTAATTTTAACAGTAATCTTAAACTAGATTTTTTTAATCGCAAAATAAATCCAACTTTAGATGCACAGTAAAAAAAGCTAAAATCCTTGTTCATACTGATACAATTTCTAACTACCCTGTTATTTTATTCATTATCACAAGCTTAAGTTGTATTCATGTAACATGCTAAACAAATATTCAGAACACAAATTCTCGAAAAAAAAAAAAAAAAAAAAGGCCCACAGCATCATCAGCTGTATCAATTATGAACCTTGAGTCTTAACCAAATTGCAATTATTGTGGAATCCTTGTTAATGGAGATATCTATTCTTTTTGGTTCAACAAAGTTGGGTTTGAAAAGGATAAGGTTTGGACTTTGGACTTCATCCTGATTATCCTGCCATGGCCAACTTTCCATGTCAATTACACTTTGATTGCTCTGATAATTAAAGGGCAGTACTTTACCAAATAGCCCTCCTATTTTTGAATTGGCAAAATACCATTAGTACCCAAGAGGCCACTTGTATTAATGGGAACCCTGCCTCAAGGTCAAGTGAATTGCCGACCCACCTTGTTTTTTATTATAATCGAACAAAAGAGCCAAACCTTGTCACCACACCATTAACGTTAGATGGGAACTTTTGCAACCAGGTGTAGATAAAAGAGATGGTGCGGCAGTGGACAGAGGCTGCGAGAACGGATGGAGGAGGAAGCAGTCAAGACTTGAGCAGCGTTGTTTTCATCTTTTGGGTAGCTTTAGCAGCCCTTTTTCTCATTACAGCAATCATATTCTCCTGTGCTGATGGAGCATCCAAAGATAAAGCCTCCAACACCCATGCAGATGCCTATGGTTCCACTTGCGCAGCTGGATGCGGCGCAGGCTGCGGTGGATGAACTCAACTATTCTTCCCTACCAGTTACAGGTTTCATGCATGCACACGACAATGAAACCCAGCTCTGCACAATACCAAGAAGGCATTAATTTTCTATGATTGTAAATTATCCACGCTTCCCAAGGTTGAACAAAATATTAGTGCAGTAATGTAGAGCAGTTATCATCGACTTTCATCTTTTTGTAATAACCGTTTTGACATGCTATTGTAGGGAATAGGGATAGCTTAATCACAACCCCAACTTCCTTATCTACGTTTCACGTGCTTAGTTGGTTCAGAGTCTCACGCTCCCAAAAGAGAATCTTTGAATTCCACAACAATTGTGTACTTCAATCTCTTGATATCTTTCAAATCCACATCAATTGTGTACTTAAAATTCTATTGACTATCTAAACATCATCTTCAATTTATAACCAAGATGCACAAAGCATTAAATATTCGTCAATACATTCAAAATATTAAAAAAAAATTATTAATATTTTAAATTCTTTTTTAAATCTTTTTTTCATCAACAAAATTAATAAATTTATCAATAAGGACATATAATATAAATAAACACTTTGGAAAAAAAATTTTAAATCCTTCACCATCTATAAAATGCCCTTTATAAGACTAGATTGTTAATCTTATCTATTATCTATTATTAGAGTGGAAGAGAATGTCATAGTTATAAAAAAAAAAGGAAAAAAAATCTCGAAAATGAGAATAGCCCAATGCAATTTCCCAATTATACAAGAAAAGTCTTTCAATGATTCATTTATTGATATAAAGAAATATCTAGCATGATATAAACTTCCACTTGGAGATGGGAGTAAAATGTGTAGCTCCAATATAATTCTTTCTGTGCACCTTTCAAACTGAAGTTAGGCTGCCGAAAATACCACATAATGAGGAGGAAACTATAGATATTTTCTTCATCGTTATTGAAGAGAATAATGTCATGTTTAAATTTGCTGTCGCTTGGATTTACATATGCATTCCACTGCCTTTCCTTATCTGGGTGGAGGATATATCCATGCTGAACCTTTCTGCTGGTATTGAGACAAACATATCTCTTAACACTTCAGGAATGTCAAAATCCTCAAGGACCTGTAGGAATAACCAAAAGTTTGAAAATTTTAATTAAAAAAAAAATCATATAAAAGATGAAAAACAAGCAGGAGCTTTTGCAGCTTTCTGACGGTTCAAGTACAGATTTTGATCTTCTTATCAAAATTGAGGATTTTGGCCCCCTTTTCTTTTATTTCCAGAAATTTTGTCCTATACTCGTATTAAATGCAGATTTTGATCTCTTCCTCAATAATCACTGTTTAATTGATGATGTGGATCATTATATTTATGACATAACTATTTTTTGACTGATGTGGCAAGTCGCATCAATTTTTGGCTACGTAGCTTTTTTAAGAATTAAAAAATTCAAAAAAAATATAAAAAAGTAAAAACACATAAATAAATAAATTTGACAAAAATAGAAAATTAAATTACAAAACAAAAGAATCAAAGAGAAATACTAAAAAAAATGTCATAACTTGCCACGTCAGTCAAAAAAATAATCACATGATCCAACGTTACCAATTTAACGATAAATATTAATGGAATGAGCACAATCCACAATTAATACAAGTATGAGGGCCAAAATCCTCTATTCTAAAATCTATAATTTTGATTAGTGCAAAACCAAACACACCTTAAAAACACCATCTACATTCCGACCAGCCACAATGAAGGTGCATCCTGTTCTTTTGCATCCTGTGAGCGTCTTCAGCATCATATCACAGCTCCCATCATAGTATTTAGGCTGCAAAGTAAGAAAAAATGCTAACAAGGGTCAACATATTATTCAATGCTTCCAACTGAACTAGAACATGTTGCATCCACATACATGTACAAGCTCAAATGCATTCCACATTAATTATTTAGATCACAATCTAAAGACTCTACATGAAGATCTCAATTCAAAAAATTATGCATAATTACTTTCACAATAGAAACTTTGAGCTATAAAGCAATCTATTAAACAATCCTATGACCAACATCTATAACGAGTAGCTAAAAAGACCATAATATAATGCCAGAAGCAATTAGAAGTTTCATACATTAATAAGCCTCACTGCAGTATCAGCACCAACTACAAAAGCACTGCCTGGAAAAAGTTCGGCTTTCTTATAGAAATAAGGCTGATTGGAAATTATTACCGTCTTTCCTGCCATTGGAGAACCACAAGCCTTGTATCATTTTAAAAAAAAAAAAAAAAATCAAACATCAGAATGGAAGCAGATAGCAAAAACCAACTCTGTAAAGATTATATTCGGCTTTCTTATAGAAATAAGGCTGATTGGAAATTATTACCATTTTTCCTACCATTAGAGAACCACAAGCCTTGTATCAATTCTTAAAAAATAAAAAATAAAAAAATCAAACATCAAAATGGAAGGAGATAGCAGAAACCAACTCTGCAAAGATTATATATGACCAAGGATACACGCAAAAAGTGATACAACATACTGTCATTTAAAAACATAAATTGTCAAAAGAAAGAAAAAAAATAAAACCAAAATGCAGACTATCAAACACCAGCAAGCACCTTGACTATAACTACTAGTATCCTTTCCCACTAACCATGCATCACTAATCCTCCAGTAAATGAGAAAACAATGACCAAACTTCCTTTGTAAAAGAGCATCCATCCAGTATAGCTAATAAAAAAACATATGATACTTTTAACATGTTATAAACTAAAATGTCAACCTTCACATCCTCCAACATGGATATGACTTCTGAGAAAACCAACTACCATAATCTGCATGTTATAAACTAACATTGTAAGCATAAACTCTTCAAAAAAACATCTTGCCTATTCCAATATGATTGTCTAACTCATGATCCATAAATCATTCCTGCAGCAAATTATATTTTATCCCTCAATACACACAAAGTTTTAACATTCAAGGCATCAAAATCAGCATATTCAAAGAGTTCATAAAAGCACTGAGCCTCACCAACTTTTTCAAACTGCAAAACACGATCTTTTATTTCTGATATCGACAATGGAGGTTTGTCAGCATTGATGGCAGATAATTCAAAGCAAGGATACCCATTGCCACAAATACTGCATCAGAGTGAACCTTTAATGAGTAACTGATTACATATGGCTTAAAAAACCACACTAATTCAGGAAAAATAAGCGCTGGAATGAGTAATAAGGAACGAAGAAATGAGAGGCCTATTAAATCCTTGATTATAACCTTTAACAGGTTCCCCGACAGCAAACTAACCTTTCCTTTTAAATATATAGACAGCCCTCCGGAATTCATTTTGGAGGCTACAAAAAATAGGCAAGTGTATATCTACTTGCCAGCTAGAACCAGTTTGATGAAAATGACAAAAAAAATCTAAAACAAAGGAGATATGTGAAATGAATCATAAGTCAGTTAAAAATATTAGAAATTAAAGTGCTAAATTACATTCACAAACCTAGTGGCAGCTTCCAAGAGCTTAAGGTGACCATCATGTAACGGATTAAAGGATCCAGAGAGTATTATCTTCCTATCATCATTTGACATATCTGTCTCAGCAAAGTAATTTCCATACTGTAACTAATAGATAAAAATAAACTTAAAACTATATAAACAAAGTGGGTCAAATAGTTATTGGAGTTAACTCAGCCAAAGGTTGAACCATACCACTTGAAAATGGATAAACCTTAAAGCAAATTTGCCCATTTATAAGTTGCTCTAACTGTTGATCTTCATCGAAGAACCTTACATAATCATCAGCAACTTCAGATTCAATCAACTCAGAATCAAATGTTGAAGAGACTTTGCATGCATTAGCAATCGCCTATAGCCACATTATTGAAAGGATTTAAATTAACAAGAACAGAAGCTCAAAAAGAAATTGAAGAGATGCACTGATATAAAGCCTACAACTCAAGAATAACCAGAAACTTTTTTCTACCTTTTCGAGATTGTTCAAGTCTCAATAATTTCTAGAAAACATTATTGGAAAAAATAAGCATTACACTATGGATTCTTAAGACATATCCTTAAATAATGTACATGTAAACATCACACACCTTCAGTAAGAAGTAACTTGAAATCTTTTCTTCTTGATCCCGACTCCTCAAGCCCTAGATGACTGAGTATCAGATTACAAAAAAGCACAACCGGTTCCAAAGAGCAAAATTTGTAAAGAAAAATAATCATAAAGAAATTACCTTTGACAGAGTAACTGTAGATGCCCAATGTTGATCAGATGTTCTTGTTGACAAGTGAAACCTAGACATCAAAGAAAGGGTAATTAACAATCACCTGGCAGACAATTAAGAAACTGCAACATCCAAAGATTCATAAGATTAAAACATTAAGTCGGTTGAACTATGTGAAAATCCAACTGGATTACTGCTTTGGGAGTCGAAAATAGCATTTACCACATATGTTTATAATATTCTTTTTTTATTTTCTGAATGCATAACATTCTAACATGTAGTCAAGGCTTCCTATTAGTACATTTGAACTTAAAGTATTTTAGAACTTGCCAAGGAGCAATGACATCATGAGCTAACAGAAATGCAGTCACTAACATGGTCAATGATTCAGCCATTTATGTGGTTTTTATTTTTGATTTTCTTGATTGATTTTAATTACTTGTCACGAAAACTAAATATCTATCCAAGTAGCAAGGACAAGTCAAAAGGCAATAGTTACAACTTACAAAAGCATTATCCAATCAAAAGTATCATAACCACTTAACCAAATTGCAAAGGGTCATTACATATCAGTTAACAAAGGATACAAAAGAAGAAACATACCTATGGTCCCCCAATTTCGGACGCGTGGTAGCCAAGGAACCAGTAAACCCCACACCAAGAACTGGGGAACCTATTCAAATAGTTGAATATAACCCCGTGTTACACAAAAATGACCACAATCCCATTTTCGGACAGACAATTAAAGAAGCTTAAGGTCTGTTCATTTTGGTAAAATGTCTTACAACCCCAAATATGATCAATTAAAAAAAAAGGTAAAGATCTCAGGAATGAAAATTGAAAACAAGGTTTTCAAAGTTCATCAAAATAATTAGAAGTAATAGTCCAGTCTTCTACTAAATTAGAGAACAAGCATTTCCAAACTTAAGAATTTTCCTGCTTTTCTTGATCACATGAGGAGAAAAAGTGGAGATGGAAAAAAGAAGGCATTTTCCAAAACTAAATGGAGCCATATATTTTTAGGCATTAAAAAAACAATAAATTTTTTTTAATTATAGCAAACAGAGTGAATAAATTAATAATTGAAAATAAAACAAAATCTGGAATAGAAAATTTAGAACCTGGAGAAGAAAGCTTCAGCGCGCGATTATAAGCAAGCAAAGCCATTTCATCGGCAGTTTGTTGACTACAATACTGGGCAGGAATCTAAACCACCAAATCTGATTTAATGCTTATATATTGTGTAAAACAAAAAATAAATAAATGGCATTTTTTTTTTCAAACAAACAGAAAAGAAAGAAGAGAACCTTGGCGAGCAATTGGATCATGGACATTCTGGAGTATGGTACAACAGCTTCAAGGACCGTATTTGAAGCTCCAGGAACTGACATTAACCACCCTAAAGCCTGCTTAAAATTTTTAATTAATCACGGTAATTAGGGATAATCATTCAAATAGAAATCTTGAATTTTTTTTTTCAAGGGAAAAAAGAAGTAATTTTGCCGGAAGAAGACAAAAGAGAGAGACGAGAGAGGCGCCGCCGGAGAGGTAGAGGACGGCCTGTGTGGGAGAAGAGTGGATAGACTCGACGACGGCTCTTATGCAAGCGTCAGTCATTTCCTCGGCTTTGTCTTCCTCCTCCACTTCATTCATTATTCCTGATTCCGTCTCCTCTTTTGTCTATTTTCATTCCCTTCAGATAATCTCAGCTAAACGCCGTCGTTCAGTTCTCCTCTTTAGCTTGGGCTAACCCTATCCAAATCACCTACACTTACCTGAGAAGCCCAAAAAGTCAATTACTTAAACCCAAGTAGAGTTGGCAAATAGACGGGTTGAGATCAGCCCATCCTCGAGTTCATCGGAAAGTATATTTCTAATCCAAATCTTTTATTTTGACTTTTAAATTTTAAATTATTCTATGGTAGTCTCAAATCTTTTTAAAATGGTGCCAATTTATTATTCTAATTAAATTTTATATAAAAATAAGAAAATTATAATTCAAAATAATAGATATTGAATTATTACTTTTTACAATTATACTAAAATATATTTATTAAAAGTAAATAAATTTTTTAAGAATGAGATAGAAATTATGGTGACTTGTTTTCTTTCATAGTAATTATAAAAATTGTATTTTATTTTTAATAAATATACTTTGATATGATAACAAAACATAATAATTATAGGTCAATTATCTTTAATTTATTTCTTTCTTTCTTTCTTTATTTTATTTTAAATTTTATTTTTTCAATATTTACAAATTTAAAAAAATTAAATTAAAATCCTATTAAAAATAAAGCAAGAAATTATTTAACCAGAAAAAAAAAAACCAAATAATTTCAGCTCTCTAGTAGTTGCTATTTATCTTCTAAAAAAAATATAAAAAGCTTGTATATACTAAAAGATTTTATTAATAATGTTTACATTTTATCAATAATAAAGTTTGCTAAGCGATCTTGGATGAACCACTTTTAAAAAAAATATTTCCTTAAGAAATTATAATAGTAAATAAGTTAATTGTGTTGGTTTGGTATAATTTTAGAGAGTTTCGAACAATACTAGTAATAATGTACAAAAAGTAATTTTTAGGATTATTAATTACTATTTACTTGTATTTAGTTATGTATTAAAACATATTTGGGTAATACTTTTTTATAAATCTAGTTTAATTTTTAATATAATTTAATTTTATATTTTTTTATCAAAATTTATAAATATAGTAGAAATAAAATTTGATAAAATAATGATAAAGAAAGAAAATAAAATCATGATGGATTTAAAATTATTAATTTTTGCTATCATACCAAAATTTTATTAGAAAGAAAATAAAATTTTTTAAATTTTTACGATGAAAACTAAAGTACCATTTTTACCCTTAATTTGAAATTAAAATTTGAAAATCAGGGGCAAAAATGACAGTTATGTTTCATTCTTAAAAATTTTAAAGTCTTATTTTAATAAATACATTTTCGTATGATAAGAAAGAGTAATAATTTTGAATTTAGTATCCTAAGTTGTAATTCACTTTTATTTTGAAGTAAAATTTAATCAAAGATCATATTAATACTGTTTTAAAAAGTTTTGAACTATCAGGAAATAATTTAACGTTTAAAAATCAAAATGGTACCCAAAGAATGATTTGGGATTGCAAATGCACTCTACCTTTGGTTTCATATTTGAAAATTTTTTTATTTGAATTTAGATTTGATTTGCTTCAAATTTGAGACATATCAAATGTGGACTATTTCAAGTTTTGTACGTCTTAGATTAAGACAAATTCAAACAAAATTTGAGTCATTTTGGAATTTATATAAACTATAGAAATTGTTGTAAATTTTTATCCCTAATTGATTATTGTTTTAAAATGATAAAAACTTTAAATGTATTTTTTAAATTAAATTTGCTTTAGATTTTAAGTATTTCTCAAACTGAAAATTTACTTTACACATTATTTATTTGAGACTAAACGTAAGTCCATTTACTATTTCAAAAAATATATATTTTCCTTTTGACTTAATATAATTGATCGTGAGAAAAAATATTTTTTATGCACTTTAATTGACTAAAGCTTTTGTGATTGGAAAAAAAAATGTATTGAGCTCTAATAATAGTTTGATTAGGTATTTTCGCAAATTTTTATTTAATAAAAGTTCTTGAAGTTATACCGTTTATGCTAATAAATAAAATCTAGTCTTTTGAATTGATTTTAAATAAAGTAATATTTTTCATTTCAAATAATTATTCTTGGATTCCAAAATTACTTCGAAAATTGAAAATATTTGTCTCAATGTTTTGGATTAATTTTTTATCTCAAAATATAAGTTTTACAAGTGAAAAATACATTATAAAAATAAAAGTTAAACAAAGTCAATTCTTTTTTAATTTCAAAAATGAAAGATTTTTAAAATATTAGAAAAAGATCGATTCCTTTATAAAAAGGATTGTTACTCTAACAAATAGAATACTCCCCAAGCTTAAATGAATTGATCCCCTAGCCTTTTCAAAAGCAAATTTTAAATGGCAATTTGGAAGATCGATCCTCTCCCAAAAAAAAAAAAAATAGATCGATCCCTTAGATCCTAATAACCTTCATGCCATTAGTAATTACAACAAACAATGACTTTTTTCTTCCTTCATTCAATCCAACGACTCCAAAAGCATTTCACTTATAGAATGTGTCCTTCCAACACTATTAAAGCTAAGATACATTATCATAAGAGCATTCAATTAATTCCTTAGCAATTTAAGAGCTTCAAGTGTTTAGTACTTTAATTCGAAATGTTTAGAGTTATGTGCAACCTAGATTAGGATGTAATCGAACAAAATTCGAATCATTTTGGAATTTATATAGACTATAGATTTTTTTTTTGTAAATTTGTTAACCTTAATTGATTACTATTTTTAAATGATAAAAACTTTAAACGTATTTTAAACTAAATTTGCTCTAGATTTTGTTCATTTCTCAAACCAAAAGATTTACTTTAAACATTATTTATTTGAGACTAAATATAAGTCCATTTTCTCATTAAAAGAAAATTATTTTCCTTGGACTTCATCTAATTGATTGTGAAAAAAAAACTTTTATGCACTTTAGTTTATTAGAGCTTTTTTCTTGCAAAAGAAAAAATGCATTGAGCTTAATAATAGTTTGATTAAGTATTTAAACAAATTTTTATTGGCTAAAATATTAAAAATGTTCTTGAACTATTCAAATTTATTTAAATAAGTCCCAATATTTTTGATGTAATCGAAATAAACTCTTATCCTATTATTTGTATCTATATAAGCCTTTACTTTAAATAAAATATTGATTTATATTAAAGACTTATTTAGGAACAAAATAAAGATTAAGAATTTATTTGGATACAAATTAAATGTTAAGGGCTTATATAGGCACAATAAAAGTATAAGAACTTATTCAAATAAAATAATAAAGTTAAAGGGCTATTGTATTATTTTAGCCATTTTTATTTAATACAAGTTCTTCAAGTTTATACCATTTATGCTAATAAATAAAACCTAGTCTTTTTGAGTTGATTTTAAATAAAGTCCAATATTTTCATTTCAAATATTTATTCTTTGATTCCAAAATTAATTTGAAAATTGACAATATTTGTCTCAATATTTCAGATTAATTTTCTATATAAAAATTATAAGTTTTACAAGTGAAGAATACTTTGTAAACTAAAAATTAAAAAAAAGTAAACTCTTTTACGATTTCAAGAATGAAAGATTTTTAAGAAATTAGGGAACGATCAATCTCATATGAAAAAGATCGACACCTTCAGCTGCCAAACTTGAAAGTATCGATCCTTTAGCCTTTTTTAAAGGCAAAATTTAAATGGTAGTTTGGAAAAGATCTATCCTCTCTAAAAAAGAATCAATGTCCTAAATCTTAACAACATTTCAATGACTAGTAAATATACCAAAAAATAGGTCTTTTCTTCCTACACTCAATCCTATGATTCTAAAGGCATTTCAACTATAAAAGGGGTCTTGCCAAGCTAATAGACATCATCCCAAAATCATTTAATCAATTCCTCCAAATAATTTAAGATCTTTCAAATGTTTAGTACTTTTATTCTTCTAGTTCTTATATCCAATCTTTATTCACTTTTCATTTGTCTCTATTATACTAAATTAGTAAACACTCAACATTTGAAAGATATTTTTAATTTGAAAAATCATTTGTAAAACATAAAGATTTTTTGGGATCAATGGAGAGGCGTACTCTTGAGTGTTTTTGTGAGTTTGGTAGAAACTCACTTTGGACTTACAGGTTCTTCTCTTAAACTTAAAAGGTAAAGATTTGAAGATTATACCTTAGCCTTGAAAGGTAGAGGTTCTAAATGTTATACTTTAGTCTCCAAATGATCTTTGTAAAATAAAAAAGAATAAAGGATTGAATTTTAAATTTAAAAAAAAATAGCTAAAGGAAAAGTGATAAATGCCTTTTAATTCTAGTGTTTAATTACTTTTCCTTACCACTTTTTATATTGAAATTGTTTATTTATGCTTTAAATATTTTGATACTTAAGTATTCCATTGAATTTTCTCTAAAGATTATAATGTTTCAAAAATGGTTTTAAATTTTCTATCAATCTAATTCACCCCTTATCTATCGATATTTGATCTAACAAAATTTAAATGTAATAATTAATTTTGTTGTTTTTTTCATAATCATCAATTATTTAATAAACTTATGATAATATGATAGAAATACTAAATTTAAAATTTAAAATTGATACAAATTTTTATAAATATAATTTTATATTATACTTTAATTTCTACATTAACTATCAATATTTTTATTTAAAACTATTTGATGTTTTGAATCTATTATTTGAGTTCAAATAAAAGATAAATATAGAAGTTCAATATATCTATATAATATGAATAAATGAGTATTTATTATTAAGAAATGAACAAAAAAATATATTGATATTTTTATTATTTGGAAATGGTTATAGAGTGCTTCTATTTATACCCCTTAAAGTGCTCTCTACATCCAATTACTTATTACACGCTACATTCAAAACTTTAAAACAATTTTTTTCTCAGTACACCCATAACCCTAAATATCATATCCCTTAAACACCACTCACATCTCTTACACCCATTTCCCTCTCTAAACCAATTATCTCTAAACTCTCAAACTCAAAAATTAATTTTAAATTACTAAGTTTTTTTGTTTAATCAAGTTATCAATGTAGATACT